ATAAAGATGGTGATGCTGTGAGACCACTGAGCAGCCACATGGAAGGGAGAGCCAAAGGCCACATTGTTCCTGCCACATAGTAAAATTAAAACTGTTAAAGGACTAATGCATCAAAAAGTGAAGCATAAGAAGAAAATGTGGCTTAGTATTTTTATAATCTGAGGTGGAGAAAATAGTCATGAAATCTAATCATTGTAGAACTGATGTTCAACAGTAAAACCCCACTCAAACCTCACAAGCAGCTGGGGGTGACTGATCTTCAGGGCTCCGTCTGCCATCGTCCTGGGAGGCTGCTCTTGAGTGTGGGTCAGTATCTGCAGTGGGGCCTGGCTGCTCCAGTCTGACAGGAGCCTTCCTCTCCATGTAGATACTGGTTGCTACACTGGTCAGATCAGTCAATCCATGGAACATTCCTGATCAAACCCAACGGCGTGGCTTTCGATTGCGAGTTCTGAATGCTGCAGGCTATGGGACTTGGTGACCCTCTCTCCCAAGATGGCCACCCTCTCTCCCGAGATGGCCACTGAAGTCAGGTTTTGCTGAGTAGCCTGGAACCCGAAAACTGACCAAGTGGCTGTGGGTTAGCCACTGTGAGACAAGTGAGATTTTTGGATGGTCTCATTACATGTTCCACCCTTTGGTGGGGCGGGGGGCAGAAGAAAACAGAATGACATGGTTTAGTCAGTGAGCTAAGATCCCTAGGAACCCCCTCTAGACTTTCAGTTCTACATTTTTCTTTCTGAATTGCTTTTTGTTATTTACAAACTAAAGTTCAAACTGCTATGTACCATGGACACACTCAGAGACAGACTACAGGAAGCATGTGAAACAAACAAGTAGTTGAAATCTCCACATGAAGAGTGACAGACCAGCATGGAAAAGAAAAGAGTCCAACAGAAGCAAGGCCAAGCATTATGGCCAGCAACTGACAGATGCCCAGCTCACTGAAAAATCAAAGGATATAAACTAGAACAAAGAAAGATCATTTATTATTTCTTTTTACTTAAAAGGTTAGCAAGAATGAAAAATATTGATATTTTGTGCTGAGGACAGAGAAATAGAGTCAGATCTTACAGAGAGTATAAAATGTGATTTAAAAATTTCTATAAACATTTATAACTTTAAACCAACCAACCAATCAATCTGTCCTACTTAAAATTTATGCTATAAAATACCGAAGGTACATACAAATATCTTCTTGTAATACTTTATAGTAGCCACATGCTAGGGATATTCTGAATATTGATCAATTCAGAAATGGTGAATAAAGGTATGGTTCATCCCCGAGACAAGGGAGCTATGGCTTCATAGTTGTGAAGATACTTTAGATGCATTGGTGAGAAAATAAAACTGTAGCACAATGTACTATTTTTACCTTTTTGGAGGGGGTCAGTAATACATGTTCCAGTCATTTGGAAAAAAACCTCATCATCCTGTTAATAGTACTTATATGTAGGAAAGATGATTAGGGTTCAAAGGAAGAAGGCTCAGTTTTACTAGCTTCCTCCACTACATCACACCATACACATAAAGGCGAGTGCACATCTCCAGGACTTAGCCTCATCAGGAACTAAACTGTCCTTTGCTTTTTCTTCCGGCTCCATCTGCTTCCAACCTGCTCCTCTGCTGGTGAGATAAATAAAGTGGGACAGCACATGTTTACAGAGATTTTAAAATCATAATGAAATGAACTTAAAGGCTGGCTTGCTTGTCAATTATCTACCACAACGTGGCAGTTCCAAAGATTGCTAGCGGCAGGCTCTCCTGAGAAATCATTGTCCTCAGAGACTTCTCCCCCTGGTTCTTAGCCAGCTCCAATACCGTGACACCTGGGTTGTGTGTCCATGCAACGTTTACTGTGCTGAGTGTGCATGGACTTCAGGTAGGAGTGGTGTTCCTGCCTTTGCAGAATTCAGTATCTCACAGCACCACACAAGGCTGGTCATGGTGGCACACCTTTAATCCCAGCACTAAGGAGGATCATTGTAAGTTTGAAGCAGGCCTAGTCTACATGACGATTCCAAGCCAGCCGGGACTACATAGTAAGACCCTGTCTTAAAAAACAACAACAAAAGCAAGCAAATAAACAACAAAACCCCACACAAGTTCACAGTAACTAGAAATGAGTAGTCAGAGGCTCAGCTTCCTGCTGATGTGGACCACCTACTCATATGACCTGCCTCTCCACCAGCCTGGTGCCCATCTGTCCCTGGATGGGCCTGTCCTTGTCTTCTTACCTGGTTGTGGTCCTGCTGCCCTGTACCTGAGGCTTTCCTGTTTCTAAGAAGCATTGACGATGTGGTCTTATTTTGTTTTTCGTGTATCTGCACATCTGCCCTCAGTGTCCAGAACCCATGTAGTCTTCCACTCCGTTCCTTAGTTTCTCTCCTGAAAACTTCTTCCCTAAAACCTTGGAAAACACTTGTGTGAACTGGTAATTCAGAGCTGGCACCCTGAAAAGCCTTAGAGGTGCTGCCATGGGCACCCTTCCAGTGCCTGCGGAAGTGGTTTCCCCAGCAGGCTCTCTAGGGAACAGGCTCGCTGGGGAAAGCAGCGCCTTCCTCCACTAGCTTTAGAAATAAGCACCCCACGGAATAGAAAGGAAGAGAAAGCCATCCACCCAGCTTTATCTGAGCCTGGTAACAGAGAGGGGAGTGTGAGGGAGAACAAGAGGGAGATGCAGTTAATTACCCTTCCAAGCAAAGGTGAACGCTGGAGATGGCGAGACCCATTTACAGGAGGGAATAGACCCATCATTGAGACTAGAGAAAGGGAGGATTGTTCAGGGCCAGGAAAGCGTCTCGATGTTCAGATTCCATTCCCTTTCTGGAGCTCTGGAGGGAGAAAGGTCATGACTTGGGCTGGGAAGGTACTTAGCAGACTGGGAGGGGGTTGCTATCTTAGGTCCAGTACTGGGCTTGCAACCTGCCCCACCCCAAGGGAATGGGCTTCATTCCTTTCTGGAAGCTGGTATGGGCTGGCAGAGGAAGGGGTATCCTAGGGGAGGCCCCCATTACCATCACAAGGGCTGTCAGACCCTACAATGCAGTAGGGCCCCAAATGCAGGGTAACCCTAACCTTGCAGTGATTGAAACAGATAGAGGGGGAGCTCTCCCACACAATGCCCATCCTGGCCCCTCTCCTCCTCCTCCTTGTACTTCCTCAAGAGCCTTTGTCTTCTGGTCCCTTGGGCTTGGAGGCTCTCTCATTCCCCACAAATGCTGCCCATTAACTTCAGAATGAGGCCTCCAGGGGGAAGGCCTGGCCCTTTCTCTCCTTGCTTCATCTCTCAGAAGCTCTTCTGGTTCTCCCCTGCCCGCTAAGCAAAAAAAAAAAAAAAAAAAAAAAAAAAGCCCAGCTGTGAAAAAAACATCTCTGGGTTTGCATCAGTCTCACAGGAGCTGCTGGTCCTTCCTGGGCTAGACATTTCCAGCTAGTGCTCAGAGATGGTGGAAAGTGCTCTGTCTGGGGTGAGCAGCCTGGTACAGTCCAGTGACCACACCAGACCCTTTGTCATCCCCCTGTGCCCCAAAGTGTAGAGTCCTCTGGACCTTCAGCACACATCCTGGTATGACCAGTGAAAACAAAGCTGCTTTGATTTTGGGGGTGGCCTGGCCTTCTATTGTGGCTCCTGAAAAAGTGTGAGCACGTCTTCAGATGAGCCAGCACTTGGGGAGGAGAGAAAGCGATGGCTCAGAGCCTCCAGTGGTCACTCACAGGGAGCTCTCTCTCTACAGGGATTTTGTTATCATCTCTAGTGTTTTAGTCAGGCCTCTTTCTTGGACATTGATGAAAGCCACAAACCTGCTTTCCCAAAGCAAGAAGCACGGGTGGAGGAAAGCCCATGTGTACACCACACCCACATCCACATTTCAAGGAATCTGGACCTCTGGGTCCAAACTACATGCTATTAGGAGGAGGTATATATTTTGGCACTGAAGTGAGAGCAGAGGAGGCTCCAGATGGTACTGAGGGCAGGCTTCTTTTGAAGGCTGGCTTTACTCAGAGCCAGGCAGCTGGTGGCCCTGATTCCTGCACAGGGGTGTGAGATGCATATTTCCCATCAGCCTTGTGCTGGGCTTGGAGAGGAAGCCAGGAGACAAGGCAGCTATGGAAACATCTGTGAGACGCTCAGCTGAGAGGCATGCTGTACACTGGAGGGAAGTGATGACAGGGCCTCCAATAGTGCATGGCTATCCCGGACCAGGCACTGCAGCCAACCTTCACAGTTCTCACATTTTACAATACCCTATAAATTAGGAACCACTCTAATGTTACTAGCGAGCTAGTAAGTGAATTGTTCAAGACAATCCAGCTAGCCAGCTGCATCAAAGGAATGGAAGCCCTGGTCTTCTGTCAGCCAAGTCCACGACAGTGTCAGGCTGGTGGCTTGGTGTTCTTTCCAGCCTCTTCCGAGGGTGAGCAGGCTGGCCCTATTGCATGAACAGGACCTCACCATGGTTGCATAGTGCTCAAAGGTCCTTCACTGTTTCCCAGCATTAACAGGCTCGGGGTATCTTCAAGCTTTAATGTGATCTGCCCCTCAAGCACTCCTGCGGTGTCCTCCGGTTAAATCCTAAGGCCATGCTAAGGAGCACCTGCTCTCTCTCTCTCCTGTCTTCCTTTCAGACCTTCTTCATACTGCCTGCTGCTCAGCTTCCCCTCTGCCAGGCTAGCTTTGCTCCGGATAATTCTCTATCATTCCTGCTGGGCTGGAGCCTGTACCCACAGAGTGGGTAAACAGCCCACCCCAGTACCCCACATAAACAGGCACTTCAACGTACTTCTCTTGGTGGCTGTGCCAAGTGTCCGTTATACATCTTAACAACACCTGAGGTCACAATATGGCTTCTCCACACCACGTTCTTGCTCTGTTCCTCAGTCAGCTGAGTGGGGGGACACTGCCTGCCATCCAGTATTTGCCACAAACCATGACACATTGTGCCAAAGGGATAAAAACAAAACCCTCCCAAGAAACACAGTGACTATTAGAACAGGTATGTAGGTTCTCATATTTAATAGCAGTTAAAAGAGGAGCGTACACGGGGGAATGGGATACACATGCTCTTTCCACAGAGGAGGCCTTCCTTATGCAGCCGCCTGCAGCAGAGCTGTTTTCCAGGTGAGTACGAGAGGAAAAGGTTCCTTTTAGAGGTACAGATAGATCTCACTGCATTTCTCCCACAAATGTGGAACTGTGCAAAATAAAAAGGCTATTTCCAACAAATCAGCAAGGAGTGACTAAAATGCAGATGAATAAAAGAAAGGGAGGGCTAGATGGAGGAGGGCACAGCAAAAGCAGTCCGGAGGAGGCCTGGTGAAGCCAACCGAGCCTGTACTCAGACGTTTGAGTAGGAAACTCCTGGCCAGTGCCACCCCTGGGCCTGGGACCTGCTGAGCTAGGTGCTGTGGATCTAGATGGACCGTTGGGTCTGGTGCATGATAGAGTCACCGGGAGATACTCCTTTTGCCAACAGGGGCTCTGTGGGTTCCCATGTGCAGCCTTCTTCTTCTCTACCCATACCAGTGCCACCTGATACTGAGAGTTTTTTTTCCCCCATGAATGGTAAAAAGTAAGTGAGCCTCTGCCTAACCACAGCTCACAAATCAGACTGCCTACATGGATGTGGATCTGGTTGGAAGGCCAGACCTCCAGGCAGCAGTGTCTTACCCCACCTGAGACTCTAGGATGTGTGTGCCTGGAGGCATCTGAGGTAAGGTCCCAGAGCCTGAGGCCTACAGGCATGCATACTGTGCTCAAGCCCTCAAGGGTAGCTCAGCTTTAGGCCTTATGGATAAAATGAAAAAAGAAAAAGTCTACTTCATCAATTCATAATCACCTTGACAGTGTAGGCCCCTGGCTTTCACAGCTCAAAAGGAGCATGCCGCTTTTTGTTAGAGAACAGTGCAGGAAGATGCAGATAGAGAGGCAGGAGGAGAAAAGGTAGTTGGCCATCCTCATACACCCTGAGATTGGATGAAATTCTCTTCAGCAGGACTCTGCTGTGGAAGGTAGTGGTCCTGCTCCTCCACCTGTTTTCATTCACTGTGACAGTTCCTCTGCTGCAGAGGTGGGGACTAGACAGGCAGCAAGATGGAGTCTTAAAGGACAAATGCTATGATAGTCTAGCAGTCTCTCTCCTGCACTGGAGATCTCTACACTAAAGGCTGGCGAGCCATGGCAAAGGGCCTTTCTTTCCTTCTCAGTCAGCAGGACTTCAGTTAGTGGAATCACTTCTCAGCCCTATCAACAAATCCAGGGCTTAGAGACACCACCTTGTCTTCTTTCCCACAGGCTCCTGCCTTTCCTTGGCTAATCGAGTTTTCGGGGTTCTTATGAGACTCTCCTCCTGAACTGTTGGGCCATTGTGTAGCCAAGGTCGAGACTTGCAGGCATCTGCAGAGCACCTGAGGCTGTTCTCTCCAGTTGGTATTCAAGACAGCTATGGTAAGGGTGGGTATGTTCTAGATGGGGTAGTCTATGTTGGGATGGGAGAGAAGTACTGCTGTCCCAGAAGCGGGTAGATGACAAAGGCAACGAGAGATTGTTCGTTTGACCAGTAACTCTGCTCATCACTGAGGCTGGGAACACTTTTGTGACATCTTGGTTAGTGTTTCATGATGCAATTATACTCTTACCAGTAGTCACACTAATAGCTTCCACAATTGTTTGAGTGTGTAGATGCTTCTGACCAATGTCACAGTAAAGCCCTTGCATTGTCTCAGGAGTCTATCTGGCTGGCCCAGGTTCCAGAGATCAAAGATAGGACTTCAGGAAAATACTCTCAGGTGAGGCCAAGGGACAGCTCAGAAGATGGGAGCCCTGGGCTTGAGCAAGATGAGCTTTGTCTCTACGATGTGACTTAGTTGATGATAGCTGGGCCAGAGGCAACAAGCCATTAGCTACAGCTGACCCTGTCTATCTCATGGTAACAGATCCATGCCCAGAAACATCCAGTCCTGTGGAGGTTGTGCCCACCATGTAGAGCTTGGGACATTTTCTTTAAAGATGATAGCCAGAAGGCTGTTGTTAAAACACAAGTGAGCAATCTCAAGAAGTCATAAGGCTCTACCCAAGGTGAAGGCACCCAGGCTGTTTTCAGGCTTCAGGGGTTTAGATCATTTAGAGATGTTGCTGCAGGAGGCAAGTGTGAGACTGTCACTCAGGAACCTTCAGAAGCCACTGCTAATCTATATTATGAACCAAGTGTTATGGTCATGAAAGAAGGGACAAAGATGAATGGAAAGGGGGCTGGGGTCCTTGGGGACCCAAATTGGCTTTCAAGATCCAGAAAAACAACTTACCCAGCGGGGCAACTTTCTTTTCAGCATGGACCCAAGTGTTTACTCAGCTAACTACCCCTCTCTAGCCACAAGGCCCAGTTAGACTACACTAATGAAACTGTCACCTACGGGGACCAGAGTGAAACTGTCATCTTGCCACATGCCACACTCTTATGAGGCAATAAGTCAGCCAACGAGGCAGATGGATATTCTAAACTGAGGCTGGCTTTGGTGTACTATGTTGGTATGCCTGCCAGGCTCTCCTATACACTTAAGCAAGCACTTGAGAGCAAACAGGACACACATTATTATTCTTTTACTTCCTCATCTCAACTCCCAGCACCCATGAATTTGTGGGGCCCCAGATAAGAGGCAGCTCATCATGTTAGCACTGACAATGCATCCTTCCCAGGATAACACAGAAAGTATGGCAGTAACTTCCCCTGAACCCCTCCTGTTCTTGATTATTCTGTGCCTCTCTTACTACAGGGAAAGGTTATGTGAATACTGTACAGGGGTTAATAAAAAAATACATATGCTCTCTTTGAGGAAGAATGCACAAATGCAGGGCCAGCCCAGGAGAGATCCTGGACCATGGGCTACGGCAAATGGCCTCTGTGGGCCCAAGGCCAACATTCAGGAGTGGTGGCTGCTGATGAGTCCTCGGAGCTGCTTAGCCACAGTGTCAATCAATTTCTGCTTGTCTCGCTCATTTTTCCGGAACTGTGCAAACATGTTATTCTTGCGGCTAGTATCTTTCATCCTAAACAGAGAAGGAGAGAAAGGGGGCAAGGTGTTTGAGATAGTACCAGACAAAGAATAAGCAGAGAGTAGATGGATGGCAATATGTATCTTAACCATTACTCAGAGTGGAGGAGTCCAGAGTATTCCCACTGTCTAGTTACCTACTCATTATGGAGCTGTCCTTCAGACACCCACCACCTTCCTAACTTCAGCTGCCTTTGGTCAAGAGCTAGCTTTGGAGGGTCAGGTCCTTATCCTCATACCTTTCCCATCTGGTTCACCCTTATGTCTTCAGATGAGTACCTTTATAGGAGTCTGAGACAAGGCACAGCTCTGCTGGCCAGCAGACTCATAAAACTGTCTGGGGTACACTTATTTCATTAGCCTACTGGGACCTAAGAGATGGATTTTGGAAGGTAAGGCAGAAAAATATTGTCTTAAAATTAATTGCAAGAGATCATGAGTCACTGAGAGTCACTGTACAACTTTCAGCCCCCCTCTAGCTGGTCACTCTTGCCCCTAAAAAAAATGAAGAGCTAGTCTCTTCATTAGTTTCAGGACTATGGATGAGAAGTGGTATGATGCCATGTGGGCATAGTGATGAGGGAAGGAGGTTCCCAGGGGATGGGCACCTTCTCAGTTAACAAAGCCACGCTTTATGTGAGAGACAGCCTGAGCTCTCAATGATCATGTACAATCTCAGATCTTTGTTTTGGGTTCTGTTAAAGCTCTGCAGGTGATATTACTGGAGTAGAAATAATGGATATAGCTCTGTCAGGCAAATGGCTCTAATGGGGAGGTAGGGTGAAAGAAAGTAAGGACAAACTGACATTACTGCAGTCTCTAGGTCCAGCCAAACCACTGTGTCAGAGCCCAGGACTATGCTGTTCTCTGTAGAGGGCCTGCAATCCATGGCTTCCAATGCTGATGACTTACTCTGGCCTAACCTCTGCACCGACTGCCAGCCCGTGGGTGGGGTAGGCCAGCTGGCACCTTTGTTCTTGGAACTGAACTGGCTCTCTGTTATTAGAGCTGCATGGGGAAAGTCTAGAGGAGGGTCTAAATTACTTCCAAGCATACTTCCTAAAGGTCTTTGGCCAATTCTGAGCCTTCTTTCCTCCTCTGTGGGCAGTCTTTTGAAGAGGGATATAGTCAGAGGCCACAAATCAGGACAGGAATCCCACAAAGGCAATTTACATCTTGTGTAGGTGCTACACACCAAGCACAATGGGTGCTCATCTGTGTTTACAGAGTCACTGGAGAGCACACAGTCCATAAGGGCAATCTGAGTGGCAAGGAAGCAGAGCTGTCTGGCTCTTTGACAGTGACCACCAAAGCTATCTGTGACTTTTCTCCCTAGTCTAAGCTCAGAATAATCCTTTCAGGCTGGAGTTTTTTTGTTTTGTTTTTGATTTTGTTTTTTGTATTTTTGTTTTTGTTTTTTTATCCAGCATGGAACTCCTGTCCACATGTGGAAGCCTGCTCTAGGCTAGGAAGGAGGACAGATGACTTGACTTTCCTTAATGCTCTTAAGGCCCTGGTGAGCACAGTCTTCTACTTCAAATACTAGTTGCACAATTCTGTTTGTGAAACTGGCAGAGCTTTAGATTATTCTGAAGGACTCCCTTCCTTTTGCTGGATAAGCTATATATCTAAACAACACAAAACCAACAGGGAAAAGGAAACAGAGAAGCCCTTTCTATATTTGCAGGACATTTGGCTTGACTGATGTTATAATTTCCTACAGCAGTGCAAAAATGGATGGCCAGAGATAGCCTGTAGTTCAAGAGGAGGATCCCGCTCTCTGTAGAAAGAGAAGAGCCAAAAGGCAAGTTGTTCTTGGCCACTAAAGCCTTTGGTTGGAATCATGCTCTCAGATGCCCTGATGGTTTGTACCCAGCAATGTGAAAAACTCAAAGTGAACCCTCCTTTCTCCTGCCCTTCTATAAGCCTTGAATTCTCTTTTCTTCTAGTTGGTCCACCTTTTAGTGACACAGGGACTTCCCTTTTTTTCAGATAGTACTGTCAGTGATCTGGGTTCTTCTGTCTTGACTCACTAGGGAGGGCCAGATTTGGAAAGAGAGACTGGCAGGCTTGGGTAGCAGTTGCCTCTGGGGAAGCAGGAACAGGACAGAGGAGAGAAGGAATTCCTCTGAGGCTGGAAGATGTGGATATTTCAGTGACCTGGGGAGCCCTTGCTTTCCAGTGTTGGGGATAAATATGTCAAGTTCACTGATGGCTAGGACTCAGCACACAGCTTTGTTGCATGCTAGGTCAGAATGGTGAGACATCACCAATTGCCATACCTAAGGAAGAGTGAAGGATCTCAAGAGAAGTGACTGAGTACCAGCTTAAACATTCCACTGGGTAATGAGAATTCTGGGCCTGGCTTGCCTTTGATGAGGAATCCTCATGGGAGATAAGGGGTTTAGACCCTAAAGCCATAGGCCTTGTTCCTAGGAGCTCCTCTGTCAGAGCTGAACTGCAGGCCCTGAGCCAATTAGAGTACCAAGAGGAGATCCCTAGTGCTGATGGGAAAAGTCCCTGCCATCACTCCCATCCCCAAATGAATTGGTAAACCAAAGATCTGTAAGGAACAAAGAAAGAGGAAGTGCTTAGCTGGGTGGCACCAGGCTGGTTTAGAAGATTAGTTTGTCAGGGTGAAGACCACTAACAGGACCAGGACTTTAGTTTAGTTATTGGCATCATTGAGGAAACTGGAAGGACTTGCCTCAAAGTGATGGAAAAGTCCCAAGTGAACAATATACTTACTCTCTAGATATCCTAGAGAAGAAAGTCATTGGGAGAGAGAACCATGGGAGAAAGTTAACATGAAACCATCAATTCTCAGCATGTCTCTTGACTTTAAACACAGAGCCCAGCATCTTACTCTTGTCTATTCTCTGCTTCCCCTTTACATTTGGCACATTCTCCAACACCCTCACGCCCCCACACATAGTAAAAAAGGTACACCTTGATTTCTATTTTTGTCTAAAGCTCTACTCTGACCTCCTGGATGCAAGCCCTTGCCTTTCTAGGGTTGGAGCATGCTTGGCTGCCCATACACGTAAACTTTCTACACTGCCTTGATACAGGTACTCTTGTGACTAGCCAGTCTTAAAAAGCTCTTTGACATGGGTCTGCCAGTTCTCTCTCCTCTCTTCCTTTCCTTCCCTTCCCTTCCTTTCCTTTTCCCTTCCCTTCCCTTCCTTTCCTTTTCCCTTCCCTTC